TGGCTTCCTCTTTAGCCTTTACCCTTGAGCCGTCGGCTTCGCGTGTGGAGCTGAGGGCGTTACGGGATAAATCCGACACCCAAAATGCCGTACATCCAACACGTCAACTCGTCCTACCCCCCCTAAACCCCCAATCCCTGTCCCTTTAAGCCGCAAGCCCGGCATCCAGGTCCAAAGCTCAAACCCCCAAACCCTGCGTTGCAGCCTAAATCCCAATTTCAAGCCTCAAATGCTTGAACCCTATCCCATAACCTAGCTTGCTACCTGAACCTAACTGCTAGGAGGGATTCACAAGGTCCAAAACACATGAGTACCGGCCTAACCTGCCATGCCTGCGTGAGCGAGTGTGTGAGTCGAAACCGTAACCTACTCTGTCTTCTGTCGCGCCTTAACATGTTTCGTAACCCGATCGTTTAAATCGCAGGTAACCCTACACCGTAACCCCCGCCCGGAGGGTCCAAGTACCTAAATATCCTTTATGCGCCCAAGATTAGAACTCATCCACTTTACTACTATCCTCAAGTCAAGAACTGTATTATTGGGTCCTTTGAAACCCATCGGGCCATCCCGAAACTGCCATAATCTACTTAGTGATTTTCACATATTCGAAACCGAGGAGGAATTTATGAGGACCCTACTAAAAGTAGGTTCTGGTAGTTTCAGGAAGCCCAAACAGGGAAAACACCAGGTGCCTACTCACAGCCGTAGTGGCGCAGCGCGCCTGGCTGCTTCACTGCCACCGGCGGCTTGGTTTTATATAGAAGCCGAAACAAGCACCAACACAACCTCTCCGGGTTCCTCATTACGATACTACAGTAAACCTCAAAACCCCACCGCCGTCCCCCTTGGTTTAGGTTTAGGGCCGTCGGCTTCGGGTAGTTTTGGTAAGCCAGTGGCATTTAAGGGTTTAGGGTTTCGGTTCTGTAGCCACCGGATCTAATCTAACGGGGTTAAAGGGTTTGGCGTAGGTTCGAGGATTCGCTGGATGCTGGAAGCAACCAAGCATCAGCTTCTGAAGGCAATGTTCGCACATGGAAGGTTAGGTTTCTGTGCTCTTGCACGTCCTATATGTCTATATGCAGGCTCCCCTACGGGTTCTGCCGTTGCCGGGGTGTACTTTCCAAACCAGCTTGGGGCAGGTCTCAATACGTGAACAAGGCTCAGCATAAGATTTTGGGACCTCGTCTCGTTCTGGGCGCTGTGATGGAGGTTGGTTCGACTTTCCTAGTCGAACTTTTTGTTCTGGTCTTCAGCCGGCACCATGCAGAGCTATGCATCCTCACGCTTGTAAAGGGCCATACCCTGTCCCAGAGCAGCGTAAGATCATCCCAAGATGAACCGAAAGTCTAGAGCTGGCGAAAGATACAGATGTCCGCAGAAGCACCAGCGGTCACCTTCGACTTCTAGGCACACCCCAGAAGTGCTGGCGCATTGCACGTCCGAGCAGGCCCAGCATCCAAACCCGATCTTAGAAGCCTTGATACTTACAATAGGGTTTTAAGGGGATATTACTGTATATATGTTACAAGTGATAATAATTGGGATTGATATGAGCGCGATGGTACTTTATCCGATCTCGAGATTGGCCTCAGGCTTTCGACCTCCGCTCTCGCCAGAACTTCGTGGTGGAGGCATCTGGAACCAGGCCGCAATCTGGGGCATGATCCACGCATAGTGTTCCTCTCTCTCTCTCTATTATTTCTCTCTCTCTCTCTATATATATATATATATTTATAATGCATAATCACCTGTCATCCTTGCCACCACGCTGTTGCTTCAACCGACCCGGAGTAGTGCGTTTCTAGTCGTGGCTGTTTGCCTTGTTGTTGTGATGTTGGTCGTACTTGCCAATTGTTTTCGTTGTGGTGCTGGTGCTGGTGCTATTGGCGATAGCAGAGAGCAGCAGCAGCAGCAGCAGCAGCAGCAGCAGCAGCAGCGGTGCTGCTGCTGCTCTTGTGGCGGCATTCGCTGTCGTTTTTTGCTTTGCATTGCGGTCTTGGTTCTGCATGGTTAGGCTACTCTACAAAGTTGCTTCTCGTCACGCCTTTACCCCCTGCACTCAGAGGCGCAGCGTGGATGCGCTCGACGCCTTGCTGTTTGCCAGCATTGTGCAGCACTATGAGGACCAAACTCTCACTCGCCAAGTGAAAGACTCCGCACCAATCGTTACAATCGTTGATCTCTCGGTGTTGGACACCAATGCAGGTTCGGGTTTCAATCCCTTCAGCTCCAATGATCGTGAACTGGTGCCATTGCCAAAGAACACACTCGGCAGATTGTTCGTATTGCTACCATTCTGGTAGCTTCCGCCGTCTTTTCGAAGAGGCTCGTGTCAGAGGCTCAGGTACCCTTCAGTTCCAACGAGAGAACCCCAGGATTAGCATTATCCTGATGCGGCCCGGGAGCTTGGTGGGAACATCTGAGAAACCCGAAGCCCGAAACCCTAAAAACCTAAAAACCTAAGCCCTATATTATAGAGTTTAGGGTTTAGGGTATATATATATATACAGTCCACGGCCAGACAAGTGTCCAGCAGGACTTCCGCCAGAAGCTGGCAATGTCACGGCTTCGAAAACTTCGCGGAACGGTGCCGGCCTCAAAGCTCAAGCAGACTGCAAAAAAGGCTTCATACTCGTAGCGCTAAATCCGGAAATGTAACCCGAAACCCTAGACTCATAATCATAAACCGTTCATATTCATCGAGGGAGGAAGTTGGGTGCCGACCAGAGGAGGTGCTCTTGGCACCCCATGCCGGGCTTGCGGTGTAGCTGTGCTACATTGGGGGTTCCTTTTTTAAAGGAGGGCATCCGAAACCGAAGCCGTAGCAGTGTAGCACGGGCAAAAGTAGCACAGCCCCGGATTTCCAAGAAGTTATCGGCAGACTTGGAGGTGCCAACTTACTTTGGGTCAGGGTTTATAGGCTATAGGGTTTAGGGTCACTTTCCCCGGCCGACTGTCCATGCCCGGATGCAACAAAAAGGGTTGCTTGCAATTAAGAAAATTAGACAAGACCCCAAGCCAGCACAGTGTCACTAGCGATACTGGTTGTAAACAGCGGTGGCAGTCATAAACATCACAGGGCAAAGGCAGCTCCACTGACGGGAGCACCAAAACCAACAGCAAGGATTCAAGCACAAACGCAAAATATGCAAACCAGCTTTAAACCCGAAACGCTCAGCAACACCAATCTCGTCTTGCACCGGAGAGACCTCGCCTGGCTGGTCCGAGTTAAAGCACCAAGTTTGGGAGGTCGATTCCCTTCCTGCCGCCGCGATGCGCGAGCGCGTGGTGGACGCCGTCCGCACGCACCAGGTCGGCTTGTTGCTCCATCTGTGGGAGGTTTTGAGAGTGTGTGGGACCCCAGTTGAGCGTGTAGATCGAAGAAGGGGACACCAAGATCTGCAATGAAGAATAGATCCCCGGCCCTGAAGACCTCGCCGCACCTAGCTAAGACTGCCACTATGTGAAGCCGAACGTCAATGACCCGAACCACGTGACCCTTGTCCCGGGTCTGAAACCACGCACACGCAAAGCTACTATGACTTTTGGGGCGTCGGAGTCACTCGAAACCACCGAACCCCTAATCAAGATCCTTAATAACAGAGCCTGATAACCCTGAACCCTAAACCCCTAACCCTGAAGCCTATAGACCCTAATCCTGAACGCTTCAGGTGGTGCTCGTCGCTGGCGACACCGGCTGTGGAAAATCCACCCAGGTGCCGCAATTCCTCCTGGAGGCCGCCGAAACGGTTCAGTGTTTAGGGTTCAGGTATATGTGTGTATATGTATGTATGTATGCATGCATGCATGCATGCATGTATGTACGTATGTATGTATGTATGTATGTATGTATGTATGCATGTATGTATATATAAATATATTTTTCTGTTTTCGGAATTGCCTTTTCAGTTGCTTGTCGTTAGGGTCTTGGAAGAAGAAGGGACCCCCCAGCAGTGAACTACAATGGAGAGTATAGTAGTAAGGCTCTTTGCAGATTCATGGTTTGAGGCTCTCGTGCCGCAAGACTAGATTCGAGGGTTTTTGGGTAGATATAAAATCTTGGGGTAAGAGCCGCCAAGAACAACAGGCATCAGAATCAATCGATGTCCGCCCTAGGCCTATACAGGCCATACCGGGTAAGGTATTTTGGGGCTGTTGGGGACAATCGGCCCGTAAAGCTTTGGCCGCCAAGCCCTAAACCCTAAACCCTAACCCTAAACCCTAAACCCCTAAACCCTAAACCCTAAACCCTAAGTGGGAGGGAAAAAAACCGCAAAGAGAATCTTCGTCCCTGTAGCCCCTGGTTTCCTCAACACCAAACCTCCTGCATGCTGAGTTCTTCATGCCGAAACCGAAGCCCGGAAGCTCGTGACCCCTGCCCTAAACCCTAAACCCCTAAGGGGTTTGGGGTTTATAGGCTTTAGGAACCCTACACGGCCCTAAACCCGAAACCGAGGCCGGCTTCCGACGGCTCCTCGTCACGCAGCCGCGGCGCCTGGCGGCAGTGGCCCTGGCCCGGCGAGTGGCACAGGAGAGGATGGAGAGGACGGCGCGGGACGGCTTAAGGCTTGTAGGGTTTAGGGCGCTGCGCTCTGGGCTCGTGAGGGTTCTATGAGGTCTTATAGTGGTATACTGGTATAGTCGGGCCTGGTATAGTATTATATATTTAGTGATAATAATGCAGATATTGAATGATAATGTATAATAGAAGGTTTCGAGACGGGTTGTTGTTAATGTTCTGAGTCTCCTGGGCATGTTCGCCGCCGCTTCCTGCTCGACAAGAGTCATATGGCGACCAGGGCATTGACTGACCACATGGATTCAAGGTGGGGGCAACAGATTATGCTTAGGTGTTTCCTGGGGCTTGGGGTTAAGTACTATGCTTGAGTGTTAAAGTTGCAAAGGACTTCAAAAAATGCCGCCAGCGAAGATGGCGGCCCTATCTCATCCGATAGGATATGCCGATAAACCCTTTGGGGTTCTTGTTTGGATCGTCGTAGGAGCTCGTCGGCGGCCGTCGGCCATCAGATCCGTTTCGATTCGAACCTCTCCGAGAAGACTCGAATCCTGCGTCTGGATTTGAAAGTGAGGAGTTGCCGTTGGGTGTAATATAGGGGCCTGAATAATTACCAATACTATTGCTGGGGGGATCCTTATTGCAATAACAGGAGAATATCCCCCAAAGCCCTATTCTAGTTATTAAGGCCCCTATATGAGCATGCTTTTGGGGCTTAAGGCTTTGTTCGCGAAGCTTTCAGAGTTACTAGCAGCTGCCCACAGCGCGGCAATTCATCGAGCAGTCATGCGAGCAGATACTGCGCATGCTTCATAGTGGTTCAGCCGTGCTTCAGAATCATTGCCGTAGGTTTGAGGCCTTTTGCCGACATGAGAAGGCTTCCGCCTCACCTTCGCAAAGCCGCGAACGTACTAAATGAAGGAAGCCAAGGCCCTACTGCGAAAGCAGCTAACCCCATGGTCAGATAGCTAGACCTTTCTTCACATTTAGGCAAAGTCCACCTCTCGAAAGGCTTCAACTGAGCTCTACCCTGAGCATCGCTGAGCCGCAACCCCTGCTTTCTTGAGTCGCAGGTTTTTCCTGCAAGCCCTATAAACCTTACAGCCGTTAATTTTGGCCTTACATGCCTTCAGGTTTGTGACGGAAGGCATCCTGCTTCGAAGGTTGGAGTCTGATCCGGAGGTCTCCGCGCCTCGACTGCCACCTAAACTTGGGAATTGCATGGGGGCGGGGAAACATAGGGCTTAGAGTGTAAAGGGTTTACTTTGGTTTTATGGCACGCCTGGACCCTGAGTTGTAGCATTGTTGGATCATCTGTTTTCGGGTGTAAGGGTTTAACTTCAGAAGACCTAAAACCCTAAACCAAAAAAACCTGCAATGCGGGCTCGTCCTTGCTAAGTGGGGAGGGAAAAAGCCCTAAACCCTAAACTCCTAAACCCTAAACCCTTAAACCCTAAACCCCTAAACCCTTAAACCCTAAACCCCTAAACCCTAACCCCTAAGTAAACCCTAAACCCAACAACTTTCCTCAGGAGCCTTGGAGATCTTCGGGGCCTTCTACCGTCCTTTGGGGCTAGGTTTAGGGTTTGGGTTTAGGTCGGTTTTCTCTGGGCTCGGTTCGAGAAGTTTGGTGTTGCATTGGAAGGCCTAGGTAAATCCTAGATTCGTGGCACCTGCAGGAGTTTGATGTGATCATCGTCGACGAGGCCTTGTGTCAGGGTTTATAGGGTTCAGGGCAGGAGCACAAAAAACTTCAAAGAGTTGTCAGGGCTCAGGCCTGAATTTCCACAGAGGGTAGTCACAATATCGCCGTTTAGCCGTTTTTTGTAGTCGTACTGCAATGGCGAAGCATATATTTTTTGGGCCTTGAAAAGAAAAGGTCTTGGGGTATGGGAGGTCTTAATAAGCCAGACTCTCACAGCGGTGGTAAGGGCCAGATAGGGTTTTTAGGCTCCAATTAAACTGCAAATACGTACTTCAAGCCTCAGACAATCCAAGAGCAAGCTTTCAACTCTTTGCCCTAAGGCGGTAGCGACTTTGGCAGGTGCACGAGCGGCACCTGGTCGTGGACTTTGTGCTGGGCATTCTCAACGAAGTGTTCTGCCCAGAAGTGTTTTTATAAGACCTTAGGATCAAAGGAATCGCTTGAACCCTATACGTATTTCCTTCATATGGGATGAACTACTAGTACTAGGTTCTGTAAAACGGAAAGTCCCAGTGGATTCGGTTTAGGGTCCCGGGGTGTCCAAAGAGACCTAAATCCCTAAATCACGTCTTTCTGATTCTTCTTGCTGTAATTGGTGGAGCCCCCGAAGTACTTATCTTGCTAGCCTTTTTTCCTTTTGCTTGCACTACTTGTCACACACTTTGGGAGTCTAATTGTGGTAGCGCTCTGATGATTTTACAAAAATCACGGCTGCGCTAAGGAATCTATTCCTTGAGCTTTATAGAGGGTCTATCACTGTTTGCGAAAAGTTTTTACTCTTTGCTTGCGGGGTTGCTTATGACGGTTTCCGGAACATGCCCTTGTGCGGAGAATCTTAAACACTACGGGCAAAAAACTGATGGGTTCGTATAAGCCCTGAGCACCAAAACCAGAAAAGCCCAATCTTAAGGGGTTTAGGGCTTCGGAAAGTGTGTGTTTCAAGGGTTCATGTAGGCCATACACCCTGAGTCAAACAACCCCCACGAACTCCCCACGAAGCACCTAAAACCCTAAACCACCAAAGCCCTAAACCCTAAACTCTAAATCCTAAACCCTAAACCCTAAACCAAGAGGTCGCCCGGCACCGCCGGCCGGACTTGAAGCTGGTACTGATGCCGGGCTCTGAGACTGGAGTTGTGCGGTTGTCCGTTCTATACCTTCGGCTTTTTAGAGCAGAATCTCAAGGTTGCACAAGTCTTGATGGACAGAGGAGAAATCTTGTGCTGAACCTACCATACCTCATGAATTACTAGGTTTTCGCAAGCGGGTTATGGGGGCGTTATGTTTGAACCTCCCATGCCAGAGAGATGTGCAGCTTTTGTTTTGGATGCTATATAACTATAACTTTGCAAGGGTTTCGACACTTTCTTCAGGGTTTCATAGGTACTTAGGTGAAATAACTTGTTGTGAGAAGGCCCCTGCCATTCAGGGATTGGCTGAGATTTTCGGTAGTAAACTCCGAATTCGCGTGCTGGAATGCTCGGATCCTAATCAGCAGCCCCTCTCAGACACAAACGTTGCCATACTCCACGTACAGAGCCGCGGCTTGAAGGTTTCATATCCAACTGTAGATCCTATGAGTTATTTAGTGTTTTCAGGGCTCGACTCCCATGAGTGTGGGGTCGAAACCTTCTGTTTTGTAGGATTTTGGGATACCGGAAGGATCTAGGGTCAGTTTAGGGTGAGCAGATATCCTGAATTGGGGTTTCAGGCTAAGTTTTGACAGATTCTTAGGACATCATATCTTCCAGGAAGCAAGCCCGGGAAGACCAAACCGTCTGACACCCACTGGAGGATGAACAGTACTTGCACCTGCGCTGCTGGTGACATAAACTTACAGCAGCATGCAATGCTTCGGAGCGCAGGTGATTCGTCACATTCTGCAGCATTCCGATATGAGCTCTTATGTTTCTTTAAGAACCCACTAGTCTTTGGCAGCGGCACTTCCCAGTGGCCAAGGTCTGCGACGCTGCAGAAGGACGACAAACAACCCAAGCCCGCATCCCCGAGGAAGTTCCCGAGAGCGCCAGGCTCTCGTAAAGTGGGAGCCCTATCAACTCTACGATAGAAGCCCTACACCCGTAATCACAGACTCCCATGCCTAAACCCCTGATCCGAAAGTTAAAGCATAAGCGGGATTGGGTAAGTAAGCTATATAAATTATAAGGACGGGCTGTGAGAAGGAAGATGCTTCCGCGTGAGGTACGTATAACTCTGCTTACAACATACACCAGCTGTATATCGCGCCTAGAATGAGACTGAAGAGCCATCGACACCCTTAGTGTGTATGGCCCAGGAAGCTCTACCCAAGAAGCGTTGCATTACATGTGTACAGCACAACCATTCTCACAGAATGAATAACCCAGCATAAATGGGGGCAAAAAGGGTTTAGTATTGCTGAATGTCAAGGTCGCGCTCGTGATAGTATCCCCTATATTGATATACTTTTCAGTATCCCCGCAAGACCCGGGCCCCGTGTGCTAATCCTCAAATATTATCGTCTCGAAGGGGCTTCTTATAGCAAGCATTCGCCCACCCCAAAACCCAGGAGTCGTAGAAACTGTAGGGTTTCTAAAGTAGGATCTAAAAATGAGGTTTGCGGGTGTTTATAAGCCTGGTTTTTCCTAAGCTGGAAGCCAAATCAAGAGGCCCTAAGCACAGAACCCTGTAGACCCTAGAAGCCGTAAAGCTCCTAAACCCAAAACCCTAACCCCCACCCACCCCCCTCCCCCAACAAAGGAAAGCCCAAAGAGTGCGCCGAAAAGGACCTGTTCATCCGATATTTCGACCTCCCCCCGGAGGCAGTTGTTGAAATCCCAGGCCCCGAGTTTGCCATGGTTTTTGGAGTTGCTGTCTTGAGGGTGTGCTGGTTGGGATTTAGGGGTGAAACCCCTAAGCCCTAAACCTTAAACCCTAAACCCTGAACCCTAAAACCCTATCCCTGAACCCTGAAACCCTAGGGGCCTAAACTTTTCGGCTGTAGGGGCTTAAGCCAAGCCCGGGAGCCGGGCAGTCCGGTTTGTAGCATCACCTTGGTAGCAGGGCCTAATTCGCGAGGAGTCTTGAGGTTTTACGGTCTATAATTATGACTATATGGCTAGAACAGAAGGGTTTAGAGTCTTAGGGTTTCCGGGTTTATAAGTGACACGTCTAGGGCTGCACGGCTTATAGGGTTATAGGAGTCCTTGCAGCCATGACGGTGTAGTTAAGTAGATGATCTTGGCTGCGCCAGAGTTCACTGGTCACGTGGATCTTCTCAACAACTGGGTCCCAAGGCACCCCGAGCATGACCTTCCCACAAGTTGTCTGTAAAAGTTGGATCAATATGCTAACCTTGGCCCCTTCTTGGGAAATCCAGGCCTTGTCATTTAGGGCTCTAGCGCAAAACCCTTCACAATCCTAATATCGAACGCCTTCTGGTTTCGGGCTCCATGTGTACCCCAAAGTCCCTACAACCTCCAAGACACCCCAGACCCTGATGCCCTAGTCCCCTAAGCGCCAAGACCACAAGCCCTGGGACATTTTCTGATCTCGCGCCGAAGGCCGCATGTACCGTGTGGAAGTCGAGAATATGCCGCAGAAGGATGTGAATCTTTGGGCTGAATGTCTGAGATGTTTCTGGGGCTCAACTTCCGAACCCCGAAACTTTGCTTTCGTTGCTGCGCTCCATACTGGGAGTATGTCGTTGACTTTGCGAAGCTCCACCTCTCCAATTTCGACGGGGCTGTAGACTGTAGAAGCCGGAATTATTGCCCATACTGTTCCTTAGCGGCCCTAGCGTACAGCACATCACATCCGATTAAAGCCTGGGTTTGAGCATTAGCAGCCCAATGTTAAACGTGAACTGGGATACTGCCACACCCTGGAGTTGCACATCTAAAGCCTCGTTCGTCCTTTTTGGTCTCAGAGATCCAACGTGCCCTTTGACTGCGGATCGTACTTCCGAGCTGCCAGGGGCACAGCATCATACATATCATAGAAGTGTGAATGCCGATTTGGGGGTATTGGGTTTTCAACTAAAGCCCCGTGCCCGACGCCGAAAGATTCTCAAAACCCTCTGCGTTTTCGGGATGCAGACCAGGACGAGCCCCTCACCATCCGCACAGATGTGGTGCAGCGAAGTAGCTCCTCCGCCATACGGTTCCGGTACCCCCAGGATCTATAATGAGATATATATATATACACATATACATATACATATACACATACATACATACGGGACCCCGAACCCTAAGCCCTAAACCGTTAGAGTTTTGGGTTTTGTGTTTAGCGGCTGTTCGTTCCTTTGACTACAAGCGTGCTCAGTGACACACAAAAGGCTTGACGGCTAGGTGGAAGTTTTGGGGGTCAGGGTTTGGGGATGTTTGCGGCTTGGGCGTCACAGCGCTGAAAGGGTTTAGGGGTCCCAAACGTCTCCTGGTCTAGACTTTCCAGGCTTCTATCTATACTGGGGGACTTATCATTACTCTTCGATGGGTTTATTATCCATGTGTCAAATTCAGTCTACCCATGGGCATGGTTGATATCACGTGTGTTTATTCATGTACTCATAAGTACACATACAGCGAATAGAATTTAATAGAAAGTGGAAGAGAACTTGAATATTTACCAATGCTATACCTTAGCGTTCCTCATGACGGCAACAAATTTTACGATGCTGTGGCCCAACATGAAAGTCAAGGACTATTCAAACCTTTAAAACACAAAAAAGGTGTTTTGGTGCAACTGTATGAGCTGGTGGCGACACTTGAGTGTTCGAATGCCCCAGAGCGCAAGCCTGCACACGCCCTCAGTTGTCAGCCTGCTATCCCACGTTCCCCATGTCAAAACCTGGTAAAACCCGTACGAAGTACTGTACTAACTCACTATAAACCCTTGTAAACACATATATTCAGCCATACAAAGCCCTCCTTTGAAGCGAAAAACCCAAGCAACGCCATGAAGTAATTGAGCCAAGGGGCGACCTTGAGGGTCGGGCGCATCTCCTTTCCGGGGTTAAGAGTTGCCTGAACTATGTAGGGCTTTAGGGTTGTAGGGTTTAGAGTCTAAACGCTGGTTGCGAGAGTCCTGGATGCAAAAGAGTCTAGTTTAGGTCGATTAGCCAAAAATTAGTGGCAGGCTCAAGAAATTTGTTGTTTGAGGAGGCTGCATGGGGAAGTTTCAATTTACATGGGACCCTATCATAGACCCCCCAAGCGCAGGATCGTTATGAATGAGACTTCCTAAAGCTCCAAATCCAGCCCTTGACAAACCACAACACATGTCATCCAAGGTAAGAAAGGGAAGACTCAGTTTGATTGCGAGCCGTTTCTCGAAGCGACTTGAAAGCGATATACTTGGTTATCACTGCATAGGTTGGGGAGTTTCAGAGTTGTGCAGGGTTTGGACGGCTCGGGGGTAGTGTTTCCTAAGTGTTCAAGTCTTTTGCGCCCGATTCTCCCAGGTGCTTCGGCGCATAGAGGCTTCACTGCGAGAGGACGAGCCTGCGCCCAAGGATTGCTTCGCTGCGGCTAGCTGTCTTCGAGTCCTACTCAAACCCGGAGTCCGGAAGTGAAGTCGGTACGACTTCTATAGAAGTTGCAAAAATTTGGATGTCAATTCACGTGCAGTTTGTATACTTGGACCTTACCTTGAGAACCACATTACTATATGTTACTCTTAAAAGTACCCCGTTTACTGTAACCCCCTAGAGCTAGGGTAAGAGAACCTTGCAAGGGTATAGTTTGTCCTGAATGGTAGAGGAACTGTTCATATGTCTAGAAGCCCGTCGCACGAGGCGGGGGGACGTTCTGATCTTCGTGCCAGGTGCCTACGAGCATCTTGGAAGCCAAAGACAGCAAAGCTTACGGTTTTCAGGGCAGCTGCAGGATTTGTATCCTGTTTGATAGGGGTAGCGGTGTTGTGCAAGTCGTAAGGGTTCCACCGGATTCCGTGTGGGTTCCACACGTGGCCCTGTGCGGTTCTATCTATATAGCCATATAGCACATCAAGGGTATAAAACAACAGCAGAGATGCATGTGCACGGGTCTTTTGCAAGGACGTAATACAGGTGTCTCAATAAGTAGCAACCCCAAGGGGCAGCCATGTGAGTATCATACTCGGCCCACGAGACTCCATTGCAGCCAAAAGTGCATTGCAGTAGAACTCCTCAGCCCTAAATCCTCATGCTTGCCTGGAATGTCCGAGGGCGAGCGCCGAACCCATAAACCCTTAAACCCCAAACCCTATAGACGCTAAGCCCTAAACCCCTAAACCCCCAAACCTAATCATTGAGTCGGCTTCTTTGCACATTTTCTCGACCTTCTGAGTTTTTTTGCCTGGAAGCCGATCTCTTCAAGAGCTTGGGGCGGTGTACGCGTTTGCACGAACAGCAGTCGTTAAAAGAAGTTTGTCTGATATTTAAACACAGGGGTGTATATATATATATACACACACCTACAAAGATAGGCAGGTAGATAGATAGATAGATAGATCGATAGACAGATTTGCATACATCTGTCTGGACGTGCACATTATAAATCTGTATGGCGAGAAACGTAAATCTTGCATGCTTGTTGCATCCAAGTATACATGTAAAGCATGTCAGCAGCCTAAAGCCTGTGCATACATTGGTATCACTTATGCTGCCGCAGATAACTGTTGCATATGACAGAATTCAGACGACGCACCTGCTGCATAATTTCATCTTCCTCTTGTCACACCCAGGATTGAGGCTCTCGTGGGAGCTGTCTCAGAGATGGCCGCTCGCACGCGGAGGCCACAGGATCCCGGATTGAAGGTTTTGCGCCTCTTTTTGGACTTGGGATGCGAAGCCACAAAACACAGCAAGTTTCCAACCCCAACACGCCACCCCCCCAAGCCACCAAAAGACAAGCAGAAAGCGGCCAAGATGGAAAAGTCTTCGGGCTGGCGAGGGACCTTCTCAGTCAATGCAAAACTCTACCCTTTTGGGCTTAGAGTCCTTCAAAACAACTCCTAGACGTTATGCCTCATACATTCTCATATCCTACACCCCAGATCCCACTTTAGGGTACTGACGTCCTGAATCTCAACCTCCGTATGCTCAGACCTTCAGGCGATTGCACAAGTCCTGATGCAACAACAGGGTGCTGATGCGTGTCAGAGGTGGCTCCCTTTGCCTTTGCACTCCCAAATGCCGGTGGAGTCACAGGACCCCACCGTTATGATGACCACTGTCAGGATTAGGGTCTTGTATGAGAGAACACACACAGATAGATAGATAGATAGATAGATAGATAGATAGATAGATAGATAGATAGATAGATATATATATATATATACACATACACATGTATGTATATACACACTCATTCGTACATACATGTTCATGCATGCATGCATGCATGCATGCCTGCATGTATGTCGTTGTGCTTGTCTGTATCTTTGTATATGCGTGCGTGTTTGTGTATGTCTATTTTTGTCTATTCGTTTTTGTGCATACGCACAATTTAATAAGAATAAGTACGTAAAAAAGTAAGTAGATAAATAGACACACACGCAAATTCGAACGTGAGTTTGGTCTACCAGGCTACCATTGTCGGCTATGAGATCTTGGGCCGTTAACCGTTTCCTGTACCTACGGTTTATCACCTCGGGTTTGTGTGTTGGTTCTTCAATAATGAGCCTGCCAGTATTCCTTCGGATTCACTGAGGTATCCGTGTTGTCTCAAACTCGCAGTTGGCTTGGAGTTGGGGCGTTTCAAATCCAAAAGTAGGCGCTGTTCATAGAGCTCCGACTTGGAGCGATGGGGTTAAGGCTAAGGCGGCTAAGGTGAAGGCCTTACGGAGA